TTTAGGTTGAAGAAAATTTTCCAAATTTTCCACACTCAGTAGTCATATGATAAAATGCTTATTGACCGAGTAGGATAGGGCTCTAAAGGAAAATATTTGGCTTACAGTCACTACATCTAGTCTGTATGTCATGAGCTTGTGCCAAATATTTCCCCATCAGGCCTTCCCACTCTATCATTATGTACACATTTTTATCCATCAAACATTCCAACATATATACTATTGGTTTAAATTCATGACATGGCTGAAAATACTCATGTTAAAACTGAGAATGTTCAAGTGAATTGTATATCACCTGATAATTATGTCCTAATTTTGAAATGTTACATTTGGTATCACCACCTCTTTCTTTTAACTTACATGATTCAAGATTAATTTGTTCAGCCCTCTTTGCAATCTCTACCCTCAAATACTCTTATTGAGAAGGAAACCCATGTTGATTCATTGGGTAGACCTAAAACATTCAATAATTTGTTTATCTTTATTATCCAGGTAGAAGATATCTTGAGTAAATCTCGTTACTTGACTGGCAACACCATCACAGAGGCAGATGTCCGTCTTTTTACAACTCTTGTTAGATTTGATATGGTCTACGTTGGTCATTTTAAGGTGCTACAGAATTAACAAATTTTTTATATTGTTTTTGTTGTTAGAAACTGCAATGAGCAGTCATGTATGATGTAAGGCCTCTTTTGAAAACCATAGTTCTGTCCAAATACCTTAAGCCCTTTGTCCCTTAAGAGTGACAAACATCTTATTTCTCCTTACAATATCACCCCTGAATCGCTCTTTAATTTCACAAGAATAAACAAAACGATCACCATGTAAAGTAGCCCTTGATTGTTACCCAAATTCTCCTTGTCAGCACCTTAGGAAATGGATAGAGAACAGTATTTAGAATGTACTGTATATATGTGAGTGTCTAGTAATCATGATTATAAGGTATCTGTTTTATGTTATTATTTTTTTTTTGTAGTGCAATAAAAAACGTATTATGGACTATCCAAACATGTGGGGATATGTTCGGGATTTGTATCAAACAAGTGGAATTGGTGAAACTGTGGATGCTGAACACATTCAAAAGCATTATCAGGTAAATAAATACTTGCAGTTGGAAAATCAGGAGTTTTCCTTTTGGAGGGTCCAACAGAATGTAGTGTCTTGTCATATGTGGGCATGCCAGGAGGGTAAACACTTTATTAATTTTATATTTTTTTCTTCTTTTATCAAGAGAGGGTTCATATGTACCCTTGCAGATCCCTGCCCCACCACTCACTCCTAATATGAAAATGCTACCATTGCACTACCAGTGTAAGGATTAGTTATCATTAGTTCAAATGATTTTGGATAAAACATGTAAATTTGGCGGAATCTAAAAATAAGGTGATGATGTGACAATATTTTGTTTTGTTTTTTAACTTTTCACAAAATTTTTGTAAAATTGAAAAAAAATTCAAAAATCAAACATGGGAAGAAAGATCTAAATAATTCAGAGCCATAAACATAGAAAGAAGGGACAAGTTTGGCCATGAAAGGAAAGGATTGCCATGAATTGAAAACAACAGCTTGTGAAATAACTGGCCTTTATTTTCAAGACATGCAAAGCATGATGACCAACCTCCTTTGAAAAGTTTAATTCAGTTGCATTTTGGCTCTGAAATATAGGAAATCTTATACAACAACAGTAATTTTTCAGTTAGATTTCTTAAAAGAGAAGGCAATGTGTGTTAACTGCTTATTTTCATACATTTTGTTACAGCAAAGTCACTTGAAGATCAACCCATATGGTATTGTGGCCATTGGCCCAGACCTAGACTTCAACAAGCCACATGGCCGACAGTAATGAGCTGTCAAAAACGTGAAAAAAGCTGTATTACGCTTACTTATTAACTCACAATTTATTCACTTGATTGGATGATTTTACCACAAGGCTTTGGTTCACTCCCACTCACAACTCCTGGCTTATTTGAAAGAAACACACACTCAGCATCCCGTTGTAAGCATGTGGAGCAGTGCGACATTTGGGGCAATGAAATACATGGCACATACATGATTGTTTGGTTATGTTTAGATGAACGAAATCACTTATAAATGTCAATCAAATTAGGAATAATTAATGTATTGTACAGTTTCTAGAACCTCTTGGTGAATTTTTATAAGTTATTATACATCTTAATACATTTTAAACTTATATGACTTTTATTTTTTAAATTTATGCACCAGCCCATGTTTGCCTTTGAGTCAACTTGCTTCATTTGTTAATGTTCTACTGAACTTCATCAACTCTCTAAAATTACATCATTTCTGGATTCATAACCTTTTGAACAGCAACACAGATCTGTTTTTTTGTTTTGATTTTTTTGTAAAAACTTGTCTTACCTTTCTTAAGTCAACAAAATTTTGAATTTTTACTGTTATTAAAACTTTTTGGACTTTTTTGTTCGGGAGGAACCACTATTTAAATCAATATTTTAGGCTCTTTTTGAAAAAAACAATTTTAGACCCTTGCTGTACCAGTTAGTATTTTAGCATTAGATCAGTTGCATTAGTAGAAGTGGAAAGTCAGTGTAAATGGTTAAATTAAACCTTGTAAAACTAGGTAAATTATTTAAGTAGAAGGGTTTAAAATAAAATAAAGGACCATTCCTTTTTTGTGTGATTTGTCACCTTTGGCTATTTCTTTTTGGACCAAAAGTCTTTATCTAAGTTTTTTTAACCAGGTTTTCGACTGCCACTTGTCTACCGGTAAATTTAGCTTTTGTTCCTATGTTAATCAGCTTCTTTCTACTGCTCCAATCACTTCTTAAGTCCGTCTAAATAAGGTGTTATTTCCTGTTTTAAGGGAAATTTTCGGCGAGGATTGAAAAGCGTGTAGTCCAAGTGACAAGTTAAAGTCGTGATAGGTCCTCTATATTGGTAAGGGATAACTTTCCAACCGCAGCAAGCGAGTGATACCCTATTGTTTCTGTAGTTCATTTTTTTCTCTGATACTGCGCTGGATTTTCGTTGCAAAGGGTTCCATACTTCCAAAGGTAATCTGTTACGTGAGAAAAGACTGAAAGGGCGTGGGTGCAAGGAAGAAGCTGTGTGGGAGGCGATAATATTAGTCACACCCAAACCTTGCAACACGTGCCTCTTGCTTTAGTAGCGTGGGTAGTTCAGGCACTGTTTCCCAAATGCCTCAACATTTTTTCGATTTTTTTGTTCCTGTAAACTCAGTGCTTTAAGTAAACGTAAAACAGTTCTCAACCCACAAAATTAGTGTCAATTGAGAGTACGAAGGTAGACACCCAAATTAGATTTCCATTTGTCTGTGTTTTGGCAACAAAATATCATACTTTGTTTGAGGAAAATGTTCACAGATACAAATGAAATTTGACAGTTTTGCAGAAGAAGTAACTAATCCTTCAGCCCAAGGGAGGGAAGTGTACTCGTAAATTTTGTCGTCTATTCAGCCATATGAGTTTCCCGCTCCGATCCCCCGCTAATATTGTTTTGTTCATCCCCAGTTCCCCGATCAGCAGTTGGTTCGAGCCACACTGTCCAGGCACACAAAAGCATTTCATCTTTGATATATTTCCTTGTCGTCTTAAAGGTTAATGAGCCTGAAATGAGGGATACAAAGACTAGAGAGAAAGGATCTCGTCGTACTGTATTCTTAGCAACGTTTATTCCAATCACAATTGTGGTAATTTTTCTCGTTTTATGGAGACCGATGTTGCTTCCATATTTCTTCCGATACGCGAAGTTGACAATTTCTGAATATGTCAATGACAAACAGAGGTTTTTGGACAACGAACTAGAGGCTGCACTCAAAGAATGGAGAATGTATCAACTGGAACGGCAATTTGGACAAGAATGGTGCAAAAGGAACGTTAAACCAAGAAGCGACGTAACATGGCTAACTGCGATGGTTAATGATGATTTCGCCATTCCTGCATTGGTTTTAGGTCACTCCATCCGCACTTTTTCCTGTCAACAAAACATGATAGCGTTTGTTTCAAACAAGGTGAGTGCAGGTGCACGAAAAGCCCTCGAGAGAGTTGGCTGGGACACTCGTTTGGTGGAAGGAATGGACTGTGACTGGCTTGATGCAAGATTGGGCAGTAAGCAAGATACTGGATTTTTTGCCAGACCAGGAGGAAACAGAATCAAGGGAACACATACTCGCTTCCACGCTTGGAATTACACTGAATTTTCTAAAATTATATATGTAGATGCTGATTATATGCTGACAACAAACATAGACAAATTGTTTGATATCCCAGATGACTTTGCTGCTGCTCCTGGCTCAAGACCAGGGGTTCTGGATCCATGTTTCAATGCAGGGCTTCTTGTGTTTAGACCAGACACCAAATTTTATCAGGAAATCATGGACTTGTGGTGGGAAACAACAAAAAAAGACACTTGTCCAAACGATCAGGTGTTGTTATGGCATTACTACGCTGATGCTGGTAACTGGAAAGCTCTCCCTTATGCCTTCAACATCAGACGCATAATTTACAGGCCCCTTAATTCATTCCATTTTGCTTGCTGTGTTCCTCCCAAACCATGGTCTGCAAAGTGTAGACCAAGTAGAAAAGAAGCAGAAGCATACAATGGGCCGATTTTGGTCCCTGATGACATGTCATTAGTGTTTTGGAAGAATCTTTACGAATTGTTGAAGATAAACAATTTAGATGAGTGGTGGAGAACAACAAAGTTCTTCCGAGCATCTGAAGAATTTAGTGCTGTGACTTTCTCTGACTGCCGAAAACAAGAGTCATAAATACTTTACAGATTACACTGCTACATTTACTGTTGTTTCAAAATCTGGTTTAGTGGTATGCAAAAAGGGATCATATATGTTCCATGGCCATTCTTTTACATATAGATTCTTGATTGTTCAACTGTGTACTGCATATCATGTAGCCTCCACCTTAGAAATCTTCCATTCATGCAAATAATTTTTATTGCATGTTACGGACCTTGTATCTAGCACCTTGGGTGCATTCTTGTCATCGTATTTTATTTTCTACCACTAACAGAACTCCTGTTCAATTATCAACTTGTTGTATTCCTCATTTTCAGAGTTGTTTTTCCTTAAGAAACAGAAAAAATTGTTCTTGATAGTTATATTTATTACAAATTTAATGTAAATGATATTTATATCATGGTCAGTTCCCTATTCAGATGTTTTCCCCAGTTTTTCCAAAAGTTGTTTATCTCTATCAACAGCTCTTCAAGTTGTGAGAAATAGAGAAAAATGTTGGGACATTTTGCCTTGAAATTTGTTGATCTAGCAACCTGTGTTTGACTTTTATGTAACAAGTTGCAACTTTTGGCTCTTACTTGGTGTAGAAGATGCAGTATACATCACAATAGAATTTCATCACAACTGGGAATAAGAAAACAATGAAAACAATAATGTGAAGTTTACTGTGTCTTCTACACCAATTAAGAGCCCAACTTTTGTAAAACTTACTTTTATGGTCTGAAGTGAAAGTGAGAGAAGCATTTTCATAAATTTTTTTAAATCTTCTTTTGTTGTTTTCTTCCATGAAACTTTGCCTTTTTCTCTTTTGTTGCCCAAATAAATCAGCCTCTGTTATTGTGGATACCGGGGAGGGGGGGGGGGAGATTAAGTGTCTGTAATAGTGAGAGACCATAATAGCAGGTATGAGAGAAAAATAATTGTTTTGTCTTTAAATGTATGAATTAATATGTAACTACACAAATATTAAGTTCTAACATGGTCCCATGAACAAGAAAAAGATCTGGCCAAGAGCAGGAAATTCTTATGTTTGCACCTAATTGAAGAATGGTTTTTTTTATTTTCCTTTATTGTAAAGTCGCTTTATATTGTGAGTTAGGATTTTGGAAAAAGTGCGTATGTGACCTCTTTAGCAAGAGAAAAAACACAAGCAAAATTTTGTGCTGGGGGGGGGGAGAATGTGTAATAACAGGAGTTTATTTCAGTCATTTCCTAATGCGTTTCTGAGGGAATGGCTCTTCTCAGCCTGGTGTCCTTATGTCATATTATGTATTATGTTTTGAAATCAAAGGAGAATCTTTAGAACAAATGCCAGTCGTACTGCGTACTCAAAGACAAGTGATGTTTTTGTTTTTGGATATGTAAAAATTGCACTAAAATTTTATCTCTGGTCAGCTGTTAATGAATTTAGGTTGCAAAATGGCCACTTTTAGGAAAGTTGAACAAGAGGTGCTGATCTGTATGTTGTGGTGATCTGATTCACTAGTTCGAATTATGATTAAAGCAATTTTGATAAATTGAGTAGTTAATTGGCCTTTTTTAACCCTTAGACACCTAAGAGTCACTAGCATTTAGTTTTTCCTTACAGCATTACTTGTGAATCACACATCAAGGTCTAAAGTAAAGGAAATAAACACCAAATAAAGAAGCTCTTGATAGTAGAACAAATTCTCCTTGTCAGCATCTTAGAAAATGTATAGAGAGCAGTATGGAGAACATGCATACTGATATTCAGGGTTATGTACAAAGTGTTATTACTATCCCCATGAAGTAATTGTACCTAGGAATATATTTTCTGCTTGATTAGTCATTCTTGGACCTAAGGAATGGCTACTTCCTGAGCCAGAAAATTTCCACAGTTAAATTCTAAAAAATTCGTTCTTTCTTACTGCTGTTTTGTCTAGACTCACAAGATTTTATTTTTTGTGTGTGTTACATTCAAGAGATGTTGGTCTTTAAATTCAAGATCTTTACAAATTTCTTTACATCATGGTGTTGTGGATGTGGAAAAGGGAGATAGATGCCCAAAAAAAATTGATAAGAGAGGAAAGCACCCACTGTTCCAGAAATTAACTAATGCTTATTTCTTGAGGAGTTTCGTTGCTGAAGGATCTTAGATTGGGCTCTAGTAAATGATCTATGATCTGCATTGCTTTGAAATAGCTGATAAAGGCAAGGGTCTATGTGAGAGATGTGAGGACATGGTATGAGTGGGAAAAACTAATTTGCATGTAACAACAACAAAGGCGATGACTAGGAGAATGGTAATTAAAAACTTGAGTTTTATTTGTATCACAAAACTCGATTAGCAATGTCTCCTGATGGTCAGAACTTTCAGCGCTGAGTGTTACGTGTACGCCTCTGCATACCTACTTTTCTTAATCAGTCGTGAGAAGTCTGGATTCTGTTGTAGTTCCGCGGGCTCAGCTTCAAAATGGCGCGAAACATTTTCAAAGTAGTTCGAATGAAAGATAGTTAGGGTCAAGCTGAAATGTAACACGTAAATTCCTTATTACTGGGCTAGTTGTAGTAACTATTTTAGGAAAATATTTTTACATTTTGGATAAAGGGCCATTTGATGTCTCAGCGGCCTAATTTTAAGCCAGGAATGCGTTCTTTGATTGTCGCTTTTTGACCACGAACAGAACTCATGTCAACAAGAATGGTTGGCGAAGACACAGAGCTGGAGGCTACGGTAAGATTTTAGTACTCTACAAATTTAGTTCGTTGTTTCCTTATAAAGCAGATTTGAATAGGAGACGATTCATTTGCCAAATAGTAAAAGTAACAAAACGATATTGATGTTTTCCTCTAAGCAATGTTGAAATCGATTACTCTATTGTTGCCACTTTCATGTCGATTTCTGATCAGCGCGTCAATTTAATTTAATTTTTGAGTTCCTGTGATTTTAGATCAGAAAGATTTAATTATCTCCAATTATGTGAAATCTGAGAGGGATTGTGAAAGAGCACAAGTCTTTGAAGTGGTTCTATCTACAAATTTGTTAGGAACAGAATTGAAGTAACTGGGATATGGAATGCAAAACAAATGTTTTTAGATCCTTGCATATCATTACTGAACTTTGAAGTCACAAAGATGGGGAGTAGATTACTTCGAGGTTGAGTGTTTCCTTATGCAAGAAATGAAATGTACTTACATATGACGTTTACGCTTTGTGATTGAACAGGGGCAACTCTTAAAAATGTGTTAGATTTATGGTTAATTTATGTTTTGTTTGTCTTGACAGTCTAACCTTACTGATGGTGATCGCAAAGAAACAAGGAAATACAGGCCTATTGATGCATTTTTTCAGCCAGCCAAAGCAGTAGAAGGTGCAAAAACTCAGTTGGGACACAAGATTGCACTGTCAAACTTTACGAAACCCAGTCAGCCATCAACAGACACAATTGACGGCGACAAGAGGGAGAATAAGATAATTCAGGACACTAAAGCTTCTGGCTCAATTTGTGGAAATGAAGGCCAAACTTTGAAAAAGAAACAATGTTTGTTGGATGGAAAATTGGGTTACCAAGCACCAAAACAGGATTCATCCCTAGAAGAAGAGTTAAAATCAAAACAAAATAAACGTAAGTGGTCAGTCACATGCGCTGTGCGTAACACTTCAAAACTTTTGAATAGTTCAGGATCAGACTTTGAAGATGATGGGAAAGATTTGTTTAATGCAAAAAATAAACTAGAACAAAAGTCTTGCAAGAAGAAGGTGAGAGATAAAAAAAGAACTGTACAAGAATGCAAGGGAAAAATCTCAAAACTGTCAGATGACAAGGAGAAAGAAATTGAAACAAGTCAAGTTAAACATACAGGGGAAGAATCTCAGAGAAATATTGGTATTGAAGCAAAAGTTCCAGTTACCAGTGGTAATAGTGAACAAACTAAGGAATTCAGAACTAGTGCCTTTGATGTTTTGATGAATAGACAAATGGTTAGGAAACCAGAAGATGATGGGCCAGAGGTTTCTGTGGATGAATTTCAAGATGCATCAATTGAAATTATTTCAGAAACTTCAAATTCTTGTGATATTGTTGATTGTAAAGAAATGTTCCACTCCAATTCAAATGTCACAAAATTATCAGAATCAAGGAAAGATTCTTCTTCAGATAGAAATCACTTTATCAAAAACACCGAGACAAATGCTTTTGATTTATTGATGAAGAAAGGAAAGAGTCCCAAAAAAGGAGATTCCCAGCTTCAGCTTGAGCCTGATAAACTTCCACAAAATTTTGATGGCTCATCCAAATTAAAACCCAAGAAGAAATCTTTTGAATTTCATCTGAGTATTCTTGGTGGCAAGAAGAAAGATGTGGATTTTGTCACAGAATCTGAAGATCTAGGCACTGATGTTCAAAACTGTGAAAGGGGTGTAAAGAGGAAAAGGAAAAGGAGAAAACCTGGAGATGGAAGTGAGTTGCTTGAGAGTGAAAGTGATGAAGCCATTCTCAGTGAAAATTCTAAAGAGGTGGTGGTGGTTTCTAGATCAAAAAGAGGAAGGCAAACAAGTAAAGTTGCAAATGAGAAACATGTAGAGGGAGACAAAGTTGTGATGGACGAGAAGGGAAAGAGTGAGAAGAAAGGAAGAAGAACTGGGAACAGAAGCACTACCACTGGCAGTGAACTGAGCAATACTCTGCACGTCAGGGAAGCTCGGTGTGGAAGTGAAAAGAAACAGCAAAGAGGCAATGATGATGTAGATGCTAAAGAAATGAAGGAGAAAAGGAATGTAAAAGCTAGAAAGAGAGGTGACACAGCTTCCACACAAGGGCAGTTCCAAGATAAATCACCCTGGTATGTTCATGATCATATACATGTATATTGTGTTGCAGAAGAATTTTGCAATTCCATTTTTTTTGTAACATGTTGTAACTGATTTGAGAAAATAAGTTCTCACTTAAAAAAAAATTCTGAAAAATATAATACCCCCAAAATTTACCATCTTCAGTCGATGGAGGGAAGGGGGGGGGGAGAGAGAGATATTTGCAATTGAGTAGGAGAGGGTAGGGGGAGAGGCAGATTTTGGTTCCTGTTGTTGTTTCAGTCCTTCTGGGTAGTGAAGTATTTCATCTGAGGATAAATTCCAATGTAGTGACTACAAATTGACTCATCCTGTTTCTCTGAAAGCTCTGAAGACCTTGAAATGCCCAAGAGAAGAAGAGATCAGAAGAAAAAGAATGGACAGTCAAGCAAGGAACAGTCAAGCAAGGAACAGTCAAGCATTGACTGCAGAATTGTTGATGAAAGGCAGGAAAAAGCTGACAGTGAGAAAGAAAAAGGAACTAAGAACTTGACTGACAATGAGAAAACAGCTACATGTAAAGGTATGAACAAGAAGAATGATTTCTTGAGCTAAAATTATTTCTTGAGCTACTGATTGGCATCGTGCCATGCTGAGCTACAGTATTTTGGGTTTTCATGTAGTGGCTAATTACCAATTAATTTACTACATTGAATTACCCACAAAATAATTAGTAACCAATAGATTAGTGGTTATATCCACAAAGCATTTCTTTTTTTTTTTTTTTCGGTTTTGAGAAATAGGCAATTTTTTTGTTTGTTTTAGATTCAAGACATATCTCTTACTAGCTCTGGTGCAAAGCAGGCTAGCCATAAATCTGGGGAGTATGACAAGTCAAACAAATTTTTTAACTTAATGGACCTTACAGTGAGATACTGGCTGGTTCTCATGCATTTTAAATGCAATCATTATTTTACAAGGATCTTTTCATTTTCAGAGCCCAAACCTTTGGCCTCCATATTTCTAAAAAAAAAGGCATTAAACCCCAAAGCTGACATTTTAGAAGAACAGCCCACAGATTTGGTTCAATCAGTATCATCACCCACCACAACCTCAACGACAATGGCGGACAACACTGCTGATATCTGTAGAACAAGTGATACGCATTCCTCTTCACTGAAAGAAAAACCAACCATCAATCAGGAAGCTGCCAAAAAAGCCTTTAATGCATTGTTCACTGGCGCACGTCATCAGAAAACTCTCCCTGTTGTAACTGCGGCAGAGGTTCTTCCAGCTCCTTGGCCAACTGTCAGCCATGTGGTTCAAAAAGAGTATCATAGTTCTCTTGGTGTTAATTTCTGGAGTCTTCCTTGGCCCATTGGGAGAGGTCAGAAATCAGATGATTTCTCTTGCAGTTTATTACCTGAAGGTACAGTAGGTGTGTTGTACTACATGTGTTGTCTATGGATACACAAATAATGATGCTGATGAAGATAAGAGTTTGAACAGTTAATCATGGCTTTATTCATCACTAGTGTAGGTTCCAGTCGTTACCCTTGTTTGATAATTTGTATTAATTTTACAGTACATATTTTTGTCTTATTATCGTTGAACAAATTGGGCACATGAGGTGATCTCACAGACAGATGTGACTGCTAATAGAACCTAGCAAATGTGTCCTTTATGTCATATTTCTCTTCTATTCAGATTACATTTCCAACGCAATGTCACAAGAAGATAAAGTGATGTTTTCTGGATCAAGAGCTTTTGAACAGTCCTTGTGTCACTCCAAGAGAGTGGTTAGTAATATTCATAAATTGAGAGCTCTTTTTCTTGTCAAAGTGTACCCTTAAACTGTTATACAATCCCCAATGGTGGATTAGAAATGGTGGAGGGTTGCATTGGATTTTATTACTGGCATTAACTTTCACACCAAATTGAATACATTGCAGTATTCTGATGGAGTAGTCTCATCAACTGAGTCAGAGTAACCCTAAAATTATTTCAAATTGCTTCAGTTTTGATGATGGGTTGGGTAAACTTTGATATACTTAGCATTTAGATATATGGTGGCTTTTGTTGCATGAATTTCCTTTTTAAAAATATCTTGAATTGTCATTGAAAGCTGACAATCATTTTTTTGGTTGTGTAATATGCAAAATGAAATAAAATTTTTCTCAGTCTATCATAATAAGGTGTTTAATTTGTAAAAGGGGGTAAATTTCTAAGCCCTTCATCAGAGCAATAGACAAAGGTCATATGCTCAAAATGTCAGCTTGTAAACTCTTTATGGTGGCCAATTTATGTTATCAACTCAGTTTATAATACTAAATTACCCTGTTTAATTTTTGTTTTATTTTCTTCCATGACAAAATATTGACAGGAACCTAAAACAACAACCAAAAGTTTCTCAGAGGCTATCACAAAGAGTATTGTCTCAGAGCTGGCTTTGTTTTACCCTGGCATACCCTTAAGGAAACTTTACAGACGATATTCATCAAAACTGCAAAAGTACAGAGTAAATAGTACTGTTGCAGACCTTGAACAAACTGTCCCTGAGAAAAAGCCAGACGAGAGAGTGAAGAGCAGAGTGGATTCATTAGGAGACAAAGATGGGAAAGGTAACATTGTGGCATTGTCTTGTGATGGGGAAAGAAGCCTGGAGAAAGAGATTGCAAGGAAAAAGGATGATTTATTAGTATCAGAAGAGGAACAAGGTCCTGCAACCAAACAGCCTGTGGAGAAGCCACGCCAGAAAAGAAGAAGAGAAGATGATGGTGACCAATATCAGGCGGAGGTCATCAAGGGACGAAGGTTATCCTTAAGAATCCGTAGAAAGAAGACAACCTTGGAGTGTGACACTCTAGACAATAATTTGGAGATACCAGAAACTACATCAAACAGAAAGAAGAGAAAGAGAACAGGTGATTATCAAGATGTTGGAAAAGAAACGTCAGAACCTTCCACACAATTCAACAAGGCTGTAGAGATACCTGTTGTTCCCAACAGTTGTGCAAGTAATGTGGAGACTTTTGTCAATGATGCATTGTGGACAGAGTTGTATCGACCACTGCACTCCACTGAAGTCATGGCTAATGCTTCTTCTGTCAGCAAACTGCGATCCTGGCTGCAAGAATGGAAAATCAAGAGAGAAAAGACCCTGAGGAAAGAACTACAGCAACAGAAAAGGTATCATATAATGTATTATATTTAATTGATCTCTTTTTCCTTTGTCATGTATTCATCATCACAATCTGAAACAATGACAAAAGTAATTCAAACTAGTTTAAAATAATTATTTCAGACCAAGAAAAAAATTCTCCTTGCATAGATTTTCAAGCAGAAATGCTGTGATAAGATACTAACATATCAATCAGAGGATTCCATGAAACAACTAATTCTCAGAGCTCAAACTATTAGAAATTGTATTGCAGACAGTAAGGAGAATTGACAATTGGATCATAGGAAGGAAGGGTTGACTACATATCAACTCACTAATGCACAACACCATCTACTCTTCAGCAGTAGTATTCTTTGCATAAGTAGTTGAATTTCGCTGAGTCTGGTTCTTATTTTGTAGGCTTCTAGCAAAACAGAAAGGCAAGCAGTCAAGCCACAGCCAAGGCTCCAGCCACTCTCTGGAGCGGTGGGATGCAGACAGTGACTCTGACTTCCAAATGAGTGACCATGCTTCAGATGATAGTGACACAGAAGAAGGTGGTTTAAATACTGCCATGTTTATCTCTGGTCCCACAGGAGTTGGGAAAACAGCCATGGTGTATGCATGTGCAGAGGAACTAGGTTACAAGGTATTAATTGCCTTAAGCCTTTAATCCCTAACATCAGTCTAAGCATGTTCTCCATACTGTTTTTTAGACATTTCCAATGGTACTGACAAGGGGAATTTGTTTAACAATCAAGAGCCTGTTTAGTTGGTGATCATTTCCTTTATTCTTGTGGCCTTAATGAGTGATTCAGGGGTGAGTCCTCTCAGGACTACTCTCACTTGGACCATTAGATCACACAATCAAATTTTATTCCTAGGCTCAAACCATCTAATGTATTAGAGAATTTTTTTGAAAGACTGTAGGTTACCATAGTATTTATATAGTGTAGTTGTTCATGCTAAGCCAGTTTAGGTGCTTTTGATAGACTGCGACCCTGTCAGGGAGTACAAAAATCTAAGTAGTGTAGTCTTAGGGGTTATTGGGACAGCCAAATCACCCCATTGCAGTGACACAGTTATCCTACAAGGAGAGAGTCTCCAGAGAGTCATACCACATCTGAAAAAATGACATGAAATTAAGCAAAAACATCTTGAGTGAAATAATGGTTCATGGACAGTATTTGTTCCATTTGCTTAATGTGCATGAGGAAATAGTGACTGTTTCTGGTATTGTGGGTAACTTTTGAAATTTGTAAAACTTTAGGTATTTGAAGTCAACAGTTCCTCCAAGCGTTCTGGCAAGCAGATCATGTCACAGCTTGAAGAAGCTACTCAGTCACACCTTGTGATCAACAACAAGGGTCCTGCCCCTCAGTCTTCCTTTGCAGGCCTCTTTGATAAACCTGTAAACAGTTCTCCCCCCTCCACTGGTCCCCTGAGTGCCTTTTTGCAGAAGAATACAAGTGTGTCTGAAACCAAAGCCAGCAAGAATGGGAAAAGAAAGAAAGATGGGGACATGAAAGAGAAGAAGAAAGTGGAATCCAAAGGGAAAGGCAAATCCATTCTCAAGCAGCCATCACAACAAATCAAAGATGACAGTGAATCATGTTCAAATTTGTCTTCAAAAGCTGCCTCTCTGATTTTGTTTGAAGAGGTTTGTTCATTGTCTGATTTTTTTTTTTTCTTAAAGAACAAAATTTGTTAATTCTATTTTGATTTCAGCTTCTTAGATTGTAAATTAGAGGACTTGACTGAAGACCCTGTGGTCATCTTCCTTTAAGACTTGTTCCCTACCTCCTCTCCTTTCTCCTTCTCTCTCCAGTCCTCCTGATCATTATCATCATTATCATTGTCATTATCACGAGCCCCTATTTTACCACATGTCCTATGAGCACAAATGTGTATTTGTATAGCTACTAATATATTTGCTGTTACGTCATTACTTGTCCAGGTTGATGTTATTTTTGAAGAAGACAAGAGTTTCTGGATGGCTGTAAACTCCTTCATGCAGAATGCTAAGTGTCCCATTGTTTTGATAAGCACAGGTAAGAAAACCTAATATGGTCAGGAACCATTAATAATAATAAATCACTAGTAGATGTTCTCTTGTTTTGTTTGTGTGTTGGTTTGTTTCCCAAATATTGTAATTCATAAATCCTGAAATGCAAAGCAGTAATCATTATTTTTCCTAATCTCCTGTAACAATTATCTCCTTGCTAAACTGCTGGCTGCATAGTGTATGTATGTACATGTTTAATCCAAAGCACAATCTCCTGCCAGTTATTAATATGTTTGTGCAGGTTCACAGCTTTGGAAAATTAACCTGCAGATCTGTTTTTGTTTAGAAAGGGTAATTGCTAGTCTGTATTTCCTCTCTATGAAAGATTTGCACACAATTATTGGGTTAGGGTGTTTGAGATGGAAAAAAGTTCACTTTCATAAAATGCCCATTCATGCATAAACATGAAAAATATTTTGGGCAGTTGTTGATTTTTAAGTACTGTTATGTACAGCCTGCTAAAATTCAACCTAGTGCGTAAGGCTTTCAGGTTGACCTTTTTAGTTTATAAGTGTATCAGTTACTTGAAACTGTTTAATGTGACAGTTAGTTGTTTCCCAATTGAGCCAGACACTCAGAGGAGATTAATTTCTAACCTACCTTGTGTTCTTGATCCATATCGTGAATTGAAGCCATGGATTTTCGGTTTTGTTTATTGCTCATGTGTTTTGCGCCTTGAAGGGGAAAACCTTTTCCTGTTACCTACAGTGCTCACATAGCAAGAGTTATTTATTTTGCCATTTAATTAATATTTTTTGCAGACTCACAAGTGAGCTGTGAGGGACGATATGAACAAGTCAAGTTGAAATCTCCATCAGTGAATCTTTTAGCTGCACATCTACAACTTGTAGCTTTGACACACAATATTTTTGTCAATCCTGAAGACCTCAAGTCTTTGGTTGTACAAAACAACTGTGACATTCGCAAGTCTCTCTTTGATTTGCAATTCTGGTCAGGATCAGGAGGGGGAGTAAAGATGCCATACACAAGACCAGTGAGTCTAGAACCAATTAAAAATGATGTTGGCAGAAGCAATCTGAAGCCTCAACATACGTCTGTAACTTGTAAAAGTGGCAGTGAGAATCTGAAGACTGGCATTTCTTCTCAAGATGTTAATCAGTTTGAACCTCTTGCAACTGGTGGGATTTTAAATGACGATGGAGAAGAAAGCCTGTTTCTTTCCTTAAGTGATTGGCAGGCAATCAAGAACAGAGGAGCTACAAGCCACTTGCGCTCTTCCTCGAGAGGAACTCTTGGTCAAGCCTATGGTGATAACTCGGATTCTGATTTCTTTGAGCCTAAGAGGGCAAAACTGTCATGTCCCGAAGGCTCAGCAGATTCTGTCTTTGAAATCACAGACACAAATGACAGTCAACCAGTCAGCACTGTAAACGAAAAAGCTGATACCTCCCGCCAGCTTCCCCCAGTGGATTCCTTGCTGTTCGAGAGTGTGCACGGGATGCTCAATTGCGTGGCTGACCCAACTGTTGGGTCGTTGTCAATTCTGCAAAAGGGAAAGAAATCTGGAGATAACGTTAAGGTAAACAAACCTTTCTTCTTTTTTCTTTTTCTCTGTGGGAGCATCAACTTCCTTGGAGGGAAAAGGAGATTCTATTCTATTGTCAAAGCTGTTTATTTACCACCATGAAGCCAGGTTCTTGTCTTGTTTTTCTATCAAGTGTTGATATGAAGCGGTCTCTTTTTCATTTTTTCGCCGGTTGATGCAGACCATAGCAAAACTCATTTGCAATTAAGATGTATGATTTTGTGTGTTTTTATTTTGCTAAGGACTATGGCATTTTTGACAAGCTGCGACTGACACACTTCACCCAAGGACTTGATTTGAATTTGGTCCAAACAAATCTGAGTAACCTCATCCCGCTGTTTGCTGAATCATCATCGTCATTGCCGCAGACCAGACATGATCCACAAGAGGCTCCACTTGAAGACCAGACAACTGATGTTGAGCAACCAATTGCAGAGGAAATGGTTTTCAAGAGTGTTAATATATTCTCTGATAGAAGTCTTTTTGACGATGGCACTGATGAATCTACCAATAAAGGGGAGACTGAAGTTGTCACGGAAACAGATCATTCCATAGATAAGGAATCAGAAGATGGAAAGACAAAGCTGTTGAATACTTCTCAGGACTCTGTAGACACAGGCTTTAGTGAGTCTCAACCTAAAGAGGGGACTGGTGCCGCTGGGGAAGGTGAAATGCTTAAAGAGGACTCTGTAATCTGTGGAGAAACTATCTTGAAAGGAAAGAAACCTGTTCGTAAAACGCATTCCCATAGTAAGAGGAGTTTATCTGTTTCTATAACAAAATAGCAGTGAGAGTTTTAGGTCTTAAATATTGAAAAGTATATGACGTTGTAAACAACGGATTGGTTTCAGGGTTTGAATCCTGAAGGGACAAGTTTGGCTTTTACTTCGTCCTCAATCGTTATGATTTTCTTTTCAATGTGTTCTTCCTCGGCTTGCGATGACTGAAAAATGCTTATTTCAGGACCATGAGTGGGTGAGCAAGATACTTGACACCTTTCTGATATCAATGGGAAACTGCTTGATACACCAGGGTGAACTTGATTAATTTTCCTTTCAGGAGAAAGATGCTGCACCAAAGCTTTAGATGTATTCGCGCAGTTTGCAGAAAACCAGTCGTTTTTAGATGCCTTCTGCCCAAGTCTCTCTGTCTCTAACACCCAGTCTTCCTCTGTTGATTTTGGCTGGTGGGAAGCTGTGCTGAAGCCAGGGCTCACAGACGAGCACGTGACCGTAGAGGAGTGCAGTCATTGGTTGGCTCGTGATACACGAGCAAGCATTCGGGCAGCATCAGAAGTGGCTAATTTGGAGAGTTGTCGCACCAAAGTGAATTGTCTGGCTAATGATTTAAAAGAAGTTAAAAATGTAGATAAAGAGGAGAGCCCAAATATTTCGGAAAATGAGCTTTTTAATTCTAGCTTAATATCGGAAGACCTTCCTCCACGTGATTGTGGTTCTTTGTTGCAGTTGATTTCACCCTCGCTCACACAAAGAAGGTAGGATACGCGGCAAAATTTCTTTACTCATACAGAAAAAGCCAAAAGCAACCCTGCGCTGAGCGAGAGGAAACGTTTGTTTGCAGATGTTATTGGTTCATTTTGACCTGTTGAACTTGCTTTGGTTTTGACTTACGGTGCTTGATTGGACAGCTGGTATACCAAGAAAAATATCAGTAAATAAGTTATCAGTTGATCCAATGCCAAATTCTCTAAAGAGAAAACATCATAGGAATTGTATGGTAAATAGTAAGGAGAATTACTGATGAGATCTTGGGAGTGAAAAGATTAAGCTTTCAGAGGTTCTCCCCCCCCCCCCCCAACCCCTCCCTCAGCCCAATATCAACCCTAATTTGTTATCAGTTGATTGTCGACAGGAGCACAGTTGTTCAGTTGTTTGATTCCTTTCTTTGTGACGTCGTTTCACTTTTTTCTCTGCTTTTTTGGTATTTGTTGTTGTTTTTTATTTTTATAAAGGTCTCTTGTATCACATCATGTGCGATTTTCGAGTTTGGCTTGGTTTAAAGACTCACTTGGTAAGCCCTCTATTTATTGTATTGGCCTTGTTTTATCATTCAGTTCCATAGCGAGCCGAAGAAAGCTCTGTACCTCCGTGCTGTCATGTATCCCCTCACTGTACCACTGCGATCATCGCTGTGTAGCAAGTGATTACATACCAACGTTTCGCTTGCTTTGTCACTCAGAAAGACTCCGAGAAGCTGCTAACGTCAAAAGAAGGTAAATTAACAGAACTTTACGTTGCTTTTTTCCCTAGTTCTCAAATGGTTATGAGCTCAGCCTGTCACAAAAATATTGGTATAACGTAATTGTACGAAAAAAGCGTGTTTAAAAATGGTTTTGTAACTGTTGTTCATGTAGTTTTAGAGAGTGCTGCCAAACATCGTTAATGCTCTTAGTGGTATCAGTTAGTGCTGTTACGAAAGTTTAACACTGATGTAAACCTGATTTGTTTTCAGATTTCTTCATTATCTGGATCTTAATTCGTTTCCATTGGGTCGTTCCACAATGGAGGCTTTAGCAGACAGTTATCTGGGACAGTAGCGTAATATAATGCGGTTTTTTGAACAATTTATAATTTCTTGATTCTTTTGCCGAGTGAAATGTAATTTGGGGCTGGAGGAGATACTGTTGATGTATAAAAAGTAATGTTTTCAATCTCGTACTCTTATTTCCTCCAAAACGTGTCCTTGTGTCTTAGCAATTGCTGTTATATCTAAACACAAATCCTGGTTGATACGTTTCGCTCGTTTTCATAGCCTCCGTGCAAAATAGTTTGCCAATTTTGTCTCGATAAGTTAACTTTTCATCATTCTTTTTAGTAAAAAACCTGATAAAATCTTAGGTCACGAATTTAAGAAGGTTTTTAGCGACGAGGGAAGATTTCTTTTTTAAGAAAATTAAGCTCCTTTGCAAGGTGGAGAATCAAGAAGTTAAAAACTCGAACTAGGAGCTTTGTGTACAACACTTCATTATTGGAATTCAAGCAGACGTATTTCATAATTAAATACTGTATATACTTAAGCCAAGTTTTTAACTGTCATTTTGACTGTCGAAAGGTATCACAATTATCCAGTCGGGTAAATAATCACCGTTCTAAACTGATGAACTTCTGAATACAATAATGTATAAACTGAAATATTAATATAATTCGTTGTCTGGGTTTTTCTATGATTGAACAAGAAAGTCAGAAACTCCTCTGTTCTTTATAATTGTTAAAAACTGGAGATACTGAGTCGATTGGACAAGAAGGTCGGAGACTCCTCGGTTCTTCATGAGGTTTTTCAAAAACAGAATCTACAAAGTCGACTGGACAGGAAGGTCGGAAACTCCTCAGTTTTTACGAGAATTGTCGAACAATATGCGAGTGAACCTATTTCAGATAAACAGAGATATTTTATTGTAAATATTTTTGAAACTGTCAGTGGAAGAAATGCTACTTTTGTTTAATATTTATGAATTTAGTTCTTCCTGATCACGATTTTCCCTCTATAGATGAAATCCCATTCTTGTGTTACATGGTATTGATGATGCAGCGCTTAAATTTGGACTTCCTTCGGAGAAAGGATTAAAATATATAATTCATCAAGGCCTCAATGTCATAAGCAGCTGTTTTCTTGACAGGTGTTTCGTGGAATTGTGGTGTGTCTAATACGAGAAATTTTACTCCAATTTTCCACGCGTAAACCTGGTACGTTTCTTAAGAAAACTCATGGCGGTGGTCATTTGCTAGTCGAGATGACTTGTCAGTGGCTTTTGTTGAAGGAAATTTTTGCTTGGCTACTTGTCAGGAAAAACTTAGCTAACGGAAATCAAGGTTTCATTCTTAGGCCGTCCATGAAATTGTTTTTGTGTGTTCGCTGGTGTTTTTATTTCCCTATTTGGATCTGCTATCTAGGACTGAGATAGAAGATACCGAACCATAGATACAACTTACTAATCTGTTTCCAGCGACCATTTGGAAACCACTGTTAATGATAAACCTATGAAGGAAGTGGGGTGCGATACGTAGCTAGATCTAAATTTAAGGCATTTATGTGTATGTATAACTTAATTTAATTTATTCAATTAAATTAGTCATGTAAAAAAAATTGCTTTTCCTCGTAGTCTTGAAATAAATTTATAAAATCCAACTCGTTTTCATCTCAGTCACAACAACCAGAGGTCGATAAAAGAGAGCCGAGAGGTGTGAGATTTAAGGCGGTTTTTTAACTGAGTGCGATCGACTGGGTTGACTTACGAGAAAATAGAAATTAGCATCTAGCGCGGTGATGTCCACCTCGAACGGTTTCCCAAGATGAGGATAACTTTATGGGAAATTTAATCTGAAGGGGGCGTTTTGGTGAAAGAACGGACAATTTCCAGTGAACGCGCGAGGAGCTATGCAGGATAATTGAACGGGGTTAGGCCTCTTACAAAACGGCTGCAATGAAAATGTCACGTGATTTGCCAGGAGCGTCTTATGTTAGAGTTTCAGTCTGCTGAGCCAATAATACGCTAAGTTGGCCAGGCATTACTTCAAAATGAAATAAATGAATTTAAGAACTCTGTTGTTCGGCTTAGATACAGCTACTACTTGTCATTTAATGTGACCAGGATTAATTACAAAAATTATTTTGGCTAATTAGCTGAACTGTTCTTAATTTGGCGAATACAAGTAACTTAAAGATTTTGTTTGCGATACATTAAAACAATATTGTGCAGACATTAAAAAAACTGTCACATCATACTTCCGCATTTTAGTGCTCATTAAGCGAATGTTTAAAGACCAAACAAAAATTTGTTCGTAATAAGAACTGTAAGATGTCCTTCCCCTCGTTATTATTTGTCAAACACCATTCTTCCGTTGGAAAAACATGATGATGTATCCTTGACAATAGCCCAATCAAGAGGTATAATATCGTCAGTCGTGAATTTTTTCCATCGGATGAAAGACTGTCCATACTAGGCTTTCCCTTGTCCGCCTGATGCAGAGGCATCGCTGCTCTTTGCTGGTCCTCCGGGTCCGTTGTTAGAAGTGTCTACCGGCTTCTTGTTTCCAGCGTTCATGAGCATCCCAGCTATTGTGGCAATGACTGCAGCTATGAACCAGAAGAACCATCTCTTGGAGAAATATTTGCCAAAAGCTGCAAGAAACGCAGACGTCGCGATGGCAAATCCAACAGCCATTGAACTGCCTTTAAATTAATTTTTTTTAGTACGCAGCACAGTAAAGTCCTCTTGTCAGCTAGAATGATGACAAGAACAGAAAGTATGAATCAAAACACGCTTTAGAACCCTACCCTGTTTTCCTTGTCAATTTGGCGTCTTGGTAAACTTCTCGACTGGTATTACGCGTTAAAGCGTTTGAAAGTGGAATTTCATTGGCTAGTTTCGGTAAATGTTGGGATTTAAATCACATGGTTAGCAGGTGTTTAAAAGAAGAAGCTGTTAATACCCTTTAATGGTTTTTTTCTATTTTTTTTTGGTTCCATGCCTTTTAAACTATCAAGGAATCGTTTTCATTTCAGTACTACTCTATCATTCATGTACATACAAGCATAAGGCTGGTTACTTGCAATCAAATTAAAACTGATTTAGATACCAGGATATCATTTTGAAGGTCAGCGTCTCACCAGGTGGTTCTTAAACTATTTACACTTGTTTTCAATGAACTAAAGCGTTTTGTGGTATTGTTTAAACAGACAATTCAAGATACGAAATATAACTGATGGTTGATGTTGGTGCCCGCTTCTGAAGGGTGGAAAGAAAGCGTACTTTAGTGTTATTAAGTATCAAGTTTTGAGCCCGACTTTTAAAGAAAATATAAATATTCGGTTTTTTTGTGTTCTGTAACCATAGCTGCATTGCAACAAAAAGTTAATGTAATCACAGATTCACCAAATTGAATTGTCAACTTCGCCGATTGAATAATTCATTGTTTATCTATTTTATTTTACACCGAACTGAAAGGCGTAATTTTCCCCTTATTGTCCATCTGTCAACCTCTTGTTCAAGTTATCTTGACAATCATCGCGGAAATGATGATAACGTCATTGTTTAGGGAGGTTGTGTGTGCGCTTCTAAGGTGCTAGGCGGGTCTGGATTCTCATCTGTAAGGCGTGGCCGCGTGAGACTACTACCGAGTGTTTACTTAGTTCCCAGGTAACCTCGCGATTATGCGCGAAGTTTGAAAACAACAGCCATGATCAGTTGTTCCGTCGCATGAATTGACTTTATTCGATGTTTGCGTCCCTCATTTCTGACGAAAAATGTCAGAGAAAAATAGGCCACTACAGCAATTATCTTCAAATTCAATTTCTGCAAAGGAATTAGCCAGGTAAAGGTGTTTCATGTGTTCATGAAGTTGCTTCTAACTTCAGGTATGAATTATTTCCTAACTCTGCGATCAGTTTCTAGCAATGGAATATTTTTAGAAGTTTAGGTTTGGTCAAGAAAGGACCCTCGTCCTCAGATCGACAGAAATGTCGCGCTAAGGAGATGAAACAACGTAAGTATAGCATCTACTTTACTCAAAAGATACATGTATACTACATCAAAATTATTTCGGTGAGTTAAACTCACTGTTGAACTCAAGAGAAATCTAAACGATCTACAGTTTCACTATCAGGGAAAAGAAACAATTACTTTTCACTGATAGATTATAGGAACCCATAACATCTCTGAATTAAAAATCAGACGATCAGTTTTGTGAAATTTATTAACTGATTATAAGTTTAATGTAGAATTGAACGACAACTGATCACTTTTCATTCCAAAGTCTCATTCCAAAGTCTCATCACCATAGATTTTAGGACGTAGTGACCCAGGTCAGTAGGGTAATTTGGGTGTCGAATTGCAACGTATATTCAATTTCATGATAGTTAATTAATAAATATGTATATTTTTCACTTACTGGCTTTCTTATTTCTATGGCAGGTCAATATTTTTCATACCTAATTGTTCTTGACTTTGAGTCCACTTGCTGGAAAGACAAGAAAATGAATTATGCCCCAGAAATAAGTAAGTATCAGTTTTGTTGCCAAAACAAGACCTACATATTAAAAAGATTTGATGTTTTTATGTGATGGATGCTAGAAAATGAATAATGTTTAATTGTTTGAATGTGAAAAAAAAAAACATATACATGTATGTAGTGTGGGGGTCCACAGACCAGGCACAGTTTTGGCGCTCGTTGTGCCAAACCTTAAAACATGCTTAAAAAACAGTTATTTTATTCTTTTACATTACTTTTAATTTTTTTTTTTTGTACATAGTTGAATTCCCTGCAGTGCTGCTAAATACAAACAGTGGTGAAATTGAGTCTGAATTTCATATGTATGTACAGCCTCAAGAGCACACAAAACTGAGTGATTTCTGCAAAGAGCTGACAGGAATAACTCAGGTATGTTCTAAAAAGCACCATTTTAATGCTGACAGAGGCATTCTGATTTTTTTAATGTTTCTCTCAGAAAATGTTGTCAACTGTTCAATTTATGGAAAAACTAGTCTGTTTGCAACCCTCCTGTTTTTTCTAAGATCATTGTTCAGTGGGCAAAAAAAGTAAGAGCTGCGGGCAGGGATTTAAAAACAGGCCAGTGACTGCCAGAGTTCTGCTGGCTACTTGTAAAGTGTTGACAGTTACTCAGGTCAAAATAATCACCTTTTGGCCCTTGATGAACTTTTTACAGTCACCTACTTTTGTCAAGTCTGGCGCCTACTTAAAAACAATATGAAAACCTTAGTTGTGGGATATTTAAAGAACTTGAATGCTTCATACAGCAACTGGGGAATAGCCTTTCTTTCTTGAATATGTCAAAAAATGTGAAAAGTTTTGGGCAGAATATGGTAAAACTATCTGGACAGACAATTTTAACCAACTGCACCTAAAGTTATGGAATCATAAGAGGATCTCCTTTGCAAAACAAATTGCTTGATTAAATGCTCTACAACTGTAATGTACTTTGTGACAATGTTTCAAGTCCTTAAAGATATTTGCAAATAAACTGATCTGAAAATATCCTCTAGGCTCAAGTGGATGGTGGTGTTCCCATTGGCACATGTCTGATGCTGTTTGGACGTTGGCTACAAGAGATGAAAGACAAAAAAGGATTCAAGTTTCCTTGTGAAGATGGACAAAAACAAGATCAAGAAAACAGTACAGATTGTTGGATTAAGTGGTGCACATTTGTTACATGGTCAGGTAAATGTGATTTCCATCTTCATGTTCTCGTGGTGCAGTATATGACCAGGTTCTGGTGATCAGCAGATAAACCTGGCACTTAAAATTGTTTCAAAATAATTTTCATGGCAGAGCTAATATCACTTTCTGAAATTTATTTTGTGCACAGTAACTCCTGAACCTTTCTACTGAGATACCTTTATTTTTTTTGTTGCACATTTTTTCATATGAATAAAGACTGGGATTTGGGAACTTGTCTCAAGAATGAATGCAACAGGAAGCAGCTTAGAACACCTCATTCAATGAGGAGCTGGATTGACCTCCGAGCAACATATAGGGTAAGCTGTAAAAAACAAAAATTTACAACTGATTGATAATGGTCATTTACTTTTGACAGAGCTATTGTGGGGCTTATCACTTGTATTATCTCAAAGACTTTCCCTAAAGAAGCTCTCAATGTTTAAAAACACAACCCGAGGAGGACTATGCACCAGGGGAGAGAATCTGATGAATCACTTTCTTGGTCTCTCTCCTTTTCCCTCGCTTCAGCCAATGTGCTCGTTTTCTCTTTAAATTCTTGTCAGCTTATTGTGACATTCTCCTTTATCCTGATCGGCTGTTAAGATTACTTTGGTTTTTGTTTTACAACACTCAGTCGGAAAGCATTCCATCCTCTCATGATGAATATATCTTAAGTATTCATTGTGTATACACTAACCAAAACTTTTACTCATTTTGGACAGAATTTTTACTGTCGTAAGCCTCAGGGATTGGCAGGTGCTCTTCAAGATCTGGGAATCAAATTTTCCGGAAGAGAACATTCAGGTACTTATCATTAACCTTTTCCCTTGGTGTAGTTATCTTAAAACTTTCACCTTTAACCTTGTAATTCTTGTTAACGAGAAAATAGTGAAAAATCTTTTACTTGCATGAGCGGACTAGTGTTAAATATCGGTTACTATAAAAAGACATTTCATAAAACTGATTTTAAAGAAGTTCTACCGTAACATGAACAGAAGAGTAGCTTCTTAGATTTTACACTGAGCTTTCCGAAAAAGAGTTTCATAATTTTTAGCGCTTGCGGAAATAAAAAATTCAATGAATCTAGACTCAAACAGCAAGAGACATGTTCTATGCAAACACATAAGCGATGTCTCTCTTTTTAAACAATGTTACCGCCCTTTCTGAATCTTCACATGTGCGCGCAGTTTACTGGCATGGCTTTCTTTCTGATATCTTATCTTCCTTTTGTGAAAATGTCAATGAGATATGAAACAAGCTGCAGAAATGTATATACTGAAGAAGCCTTTAGGAGATGGGGCTATATGTAAATAGAACGCAGGTAAGCTTGCTGATCAAAATAGATTTAACTTTCCTGTTTTTCTCCAGGGTTAGATGATGCCCGAAATACAGCTCGGCTTGCTTGGAGAATGATCTCTGATGGATGTGTTATGCAAATAACAAAGAGCTTAGACGGGGTGTGTACTTAGTGGGTAGAAATTGTTTCATACACGTATGAGCGGTGTGGCATGCCTTATCAAATGCTGTTTCAGATGAAGCCGGATTTATTTGACTATTACTAGTAAAGAACTTTATATTCTCTTGACCTCCCTCCGTTTTGATCGGCATAAACAAAACAGTAACTAAATCAAACTCAAGGACGGAATGAGACTCTCGAAAAACACCTACACTGCACTCATTTTGACAGTGACTGGTCTGGTCCGTATACTACAACTGAAAGAAAGCGTCCTTAACATTTTGTTGAACGGGAGAGGTGCGGTCTTAAATTTATGCTAAAAAGAGCTCAGTGGGTGTTGCTCCTACTCAGAGCGCAAACGGAGTTTACGTCTTGTGAAGCATAGTTATGGCATTTTATTTTGTCTAGACTTGTTTTCTTTTATTTTGCGTCACCTTTTTCGGTAACACGAATTAGGAACCGGGGATTTCTCGTCGTGACTTTTGGTCAGTTTTGGGCCAACAATAAGTCTTTGTTTATCAAAAACGCAATAAAGTCCTCTTCAGTTCAGCTGAGCGTTTAATCTTAGAGTGGTTTAGATTTTTCCCGTGTTCAAATCGAGTCTGTGAACTTGTACATAGTCGGTTCTATTTCCGAACAATGTAAGTTATCGAATAAATACTCCCCATTTCATTGAAGTTTGTGTCTTCCTTTTGTCTCCCCTGTTTGTTATTTTTCTTGTCGTCAAAGAGGAAACGGATCCACGTCTTCATTCATTAACGAACCAGTGTTTTAAACGAGAAAAGTCTGCATTTCACTTGAATAAAGATAACGAACTGCAACCAATCACTGCAAATACTTCACAAGTTGCGATGAAACGAAGGCTTTGCGCATTGTAATGTTCTGGTTATGTTTATTAATAGAAGGTAGCAGAGAGCTCTGACACAGACTCCTTAGTGAGATCGATCAGTCTGAGACTTTTATTGCGATTTTCATTTCCCTAGAAAGAACAATTTATAGCCTTGAGAAGGATGGAAAACAGACCCGGAAATTATGAAATGAACGTTTTATGAACCTGGTATTTCTTATATTTTTCAGATGTTGGAAAAGTTTTGCGAGATCGTTACTAAGAATGGTTACTTGAAAACTGGTTCATTGGCTACACAAGACATGGAACCCACAACTGGAACTTTTCTCAAGCATTCCTATGATGGCAAAGTGAATTCTTTAACAGAGGCAAAAACCCGAAAGCTTCAAGTTCAACAATCTACACTTCCAGAAAGAAAGACATACAAAAGTTTACACGTTTCCTCTGGGCAAGCGAAGCGTCAGAGCGGAAGAGAAACTACTGGGCTCGGTAGGCAACGCCATGAAGCTGTTAACGAAAAAGCTGCGGTTGATTATTCACTTGGAAAAGTGACGATCGCGGGGAAAGATCACTCCGCGGAAATTAAAGGAAGTGAGCTTAAAGACGGTCATGATGCGAGACTTATGCCTTCTGTAACTGGTCTAAAAAGGAGGGCGCCACAGAATATTGTAGGATTGGCTGCCGCAAATGCTCGCCTGGTATCCGATGAGAGCTTCGACAGCACTCTAAAGAGTCTTATCGCTCCTTTAACAAGCTTGTCAAATTTAACGAAAAGAGTAAGAAGCAATTATGGAGAATTTACTCAAGAGACACCCAAATCCTCAGGTTCGGGGCTTCTTTTGAAGAGAGGACTGGTAAAACAAACTCTTAGCATCAAGCATTTCACAGCACTGGAACACAGCAATCAACAAACATCCCGTGGAGTTGGACAAAACGAAAGCTCCAAGCCATGCAAACCAGGAAATATTGAAATGAACGCTGCAACAACACCTTCGCTCACTGTCCAAGCAAATAAAGCTCTTCTTAAAGAAAAGCACAGAGAGAAAAAAAACTTGAACAATGAGAACTGTACTTTCGCACGTCGATTTAATACAAAGTATAACAATTATAAGAAAAAACCTAACCTCTCCACCCCTCCCTCAATTACGACAAAAGTGAATTCCTCTGTCACCCCACCCATAGTTTGTTTTAATAGAGGCGGTGTCACTCCACCGCTGTGTCAGTGTGGGCGCCGCACTCGTCGGAGGTCTGTCGTTAATCCGGGACCTAATCAAGGCAGAGCTTTCTTTACGTGTTCGTTAAGTCATGGTAGATTAGGTCATGAGACAAATTCTGCTGATAAAAAGGCTAAAAGAGGGTGCAGCTTTTTTCGTTGGGAGGTGAATCTGTAGCCTCTTGCAGTCGAAGATGAGCTTTGGCATGATAATAATAATGATAATTGCAATAAACTGTTTGATGTGCAGTCTTCAGTGTAAATCATGGCGAAAAACTCTTTGAGACATGTAAAATAAATTGGAAGCCGCGTTTCCTTTTGTGTACTGTGTTCGTACTTAATCACGGGTGGTGCAGCCGGGGCGCAGAGTTTTTGCCACTTCAACACGCACAACCGTATTCAACACGCATCGTATTCTCACTCAGTCAATAAACCTTTAAGTTGTTCTACTTAAAAACTTCAACTGATGTCCATGGACTTCACTTTCTTGTACCGAACGCCTCCTTTGCGGCGAACTTCACTCATGAAATCCTTCTTAAGGCCTGAATAAGCCTTTGTTTTGTGCCAAGTCCTCCAAAAAATATTTGCCTTCTGCATGGCTACATCATCCACTGAACTGAGTATCCCATATTATTTTTAACTTTAACATCTCTGTCATTTTTTTCTTTTCCCTATCACTTGCAATTTTTACCCCTCCCTCTTTTATCACGTGCGTGCAAATCAACTTAAAGAGAAAATAGAGCCATAAAGCCATTTAGTTGATTATGAGAAAGAGCCAAAAGCCTTGAGCTTCTGTTGATGCAAATGTACACCAGCCCCGCTCCCAAGGTATTTTTCACGAGGCTGAATTTGCACGTGATATCTTTCAACTCATTTCCATTTTACGGTTCCTCGTGGTGACAACTGTTTTACTTCACGGGAAAGAAAGGCAAGGAAAACTCGCCGATTTATCAAGTCTTCCGTTCAAAACTGACTGAAAGTATTGAGGAAGCATTGCTTCTATTCTTTGAAGACGACCAGGCCAAAAGGTCTTTCCATTTCAATATCTAACACATGGTAAGATACTCGTACGTTTAGCTGGTTGACTTGTTCAGTACAACGCGCTCAACGATTTAGAGAGAATTGTGAATTGATAGTTAGAATCTTACCGAACATGTGTTCGTGAGGAGCAATTCCACTCTCATATCTTTGTTTGATAGCGGTAAAAAAGGTATTTGAGAGCATTTTAAAGGAAAACTTTTGTCAATAATTGCATTAGTCCACCCAACCCGTAAATGGCTCGATAGGACCGTCATCGCTTGGCGGTAAATTTAAACCGAACTTGTAAAGAACATGATAAGAATGATTCTCCCTGAATTGACGTTTGATATTCCTCGCATGGACGAGGATTGCAGGCAGAAAACGTCTTAATTGTTCTTTGAGAGTGTTCTTCCAATCATTTAACATTTCAACGCAGTCTCGTAAACCTCAGCAAGATAAATTAAGTCAAGATTATTTTCTTTTTGCCTCAGAAAATAGCGGCATTGTTTTTTTCCCTAGTAGATGAAGCAATATGGAGGAAGCATCGGGAATAAAGCATGGGAGTGACCGGAAATAAAAGGAAAAAAGGAAGATTACGAAGAGGTAAGCTGTTTAAATATTATAATATAGGTTTATAATCTGTACATGTAGCTGCAATTTTATTCTTAAATAAGCACAAGACCACCTTTAATCAGTCAGGCCAGAAGCCAAAACCGTTCAGTCAAGTAATAACGTATTTGCTTGTGTCAGCAAGAAAAATTAATACAAAGGATATGCAAATTGTACGTCAGAGACGACCTCTGGGCACAAAGTTATGTCGCTTACAAAGAATGATCGGAATGTACTGCGCTTTGAAAAAAAGAGTTGCCTCTTCAAAGCGTTTCCTTTTAACTGAAAATTGCGGAATAAGTCTCCATTTCTTTTGCTGGCCAAGGAAGAATATCGAACAGAATTTTTTCCTTCAAAATGAGCATTAAAAGTTTTGGAAAAGTATTTGAGAAAATGCTGGGCACGTCCTTAATCATTTCAAAATGACGAGTATTGTAAGTTGCTTTGTTCAGGTGTCGTATTTTAAGGCTAATTGGCCCCGAAATAAAGCCACAGTGTGGGGTTCTAAGGAAATCTTTCTCGACTACATCATTACAAATGTTGAATTATCGTGAAAGTGTAGATGCAATGCCGTAATATTTATTGAATATGAAGAGGTTCTTGAAAACTTGATTCAGCAGCCAAATTTATGCAGGAGTTTTAGTCACTTTTTCATCAGCGACTGCCGATGGCCATGGTTTTGACGCCCTTAAAAAAATTGATGAACTTAAAAAAATGGCTTTCATCAATATGAAACAATTCCTTTGAAGAATGAGTACAGTGACCTTTACTCAGAGCTGAAGTTTCAACAAATTGTGATCATATATGATGATCATCAAGTCTAGAAAACAAATTCAAAGAGATAGAAGCGAAATATCTTTATTTACAAAGCTTTTATTTCCTGTGACTAAATTGTCGAAATTTCATTTCGTCGATTTTTAAAATGTTCGTTTGTGTTATATTGCAGTCCTTTGATATCCTTGTGATACGCTGTGATGATGTGGAACAAAAGCCTTGAGGGAAAAGACAGGATCGAACTGAAGAAAGCGTAGCTTAGTTATTGGAGAAAGAAAGTCGAGAAAAGTGTTAGAGGTAATTACTGTAACTTAGACCTACCAACTACGTTTTCCGCAGAACGAATTCGGTCACAAATTTTCGTTTAATTTTAAGACCATTTGTGAAGGAGCTCAAACGCTGATAGAATTAATTTGGCAAGGTAAACACATTCAAGCGATCTTTTTCAAATGATCAAAATCTAAGAAAGTTTAGCTGTTAGGAGGGACGCTTCCAGTGACTGCTTAAAAATTGGTATCATCGCAAGTGCAGTAAAAACGTCAAGGATTTTTAAATGCTGGTTTTCAACAAATAATTGGAAATAATTTGGCAAGACAAAAAAATACACTCTCTAATTTAGTGTAAGCTGTAATGGCTTGAAAAAAATATCTCCATAGCATGTATTATTGATTATCACGTAAATTAAATGGGTAGAAATTTTCTTTCAATATTCGAATACATCGAACTTATTTTGGTTTGTTTTCCGTACAGTCACTGGAAATGCGTTCTATTGATAGCAATAGTATGTCGTTGGTGTTAACTTTCGGGATGGAAAATTTATTTTCGAAATATCTAGTGAAAAATTCGAATATTCATTTATTTACTCAACTTTTTTGTTGGAATGTTCCAACATAGAACTGTTGAAAATGCCACTAAGACTTAGTTATTATTGTACCTATACTTAAGTTATTTTAGCCTTTTGATTTTGTAAATCTTTTCGTTCTCTTGAAATTGTTTCATCCTTGTTAAGTGATATGTTTTTGAGTTAGACTAATATTTTTATGATCTCGTGTAAACTTTGCCATATGTAAGTAAAGAACTAGCTGTATGAAGTGAGTGAAAATACAAACAAATAAAAAATGTGTCCACTATAGTCTTCCTTTTCTCTTTAATTACGTATATAAATAAAAAAAAAGAGTTGCGCTTTTAAAAGGGCCTGGTAACAAGTCAAAATATAGGCTATCTCTTTTACTTTTTTTTGCGTATGGAGGGTGGCCGAGAGGAAAAAAATTTCTGCGGATTTGAACAGCATCTAGAATTAAAACAAGAAATATACTTGACTTTTGATGGGAGAAAATCGTAAGCATAGAGCAAGATTTTTCCCCGCCAAAAGTTAGTATATTTTTGGATCAACACCAGACACAATTCAAAAGCGCAGACTTTTTTTTCCAGGGACAATTTTCCCGCCGAAAGACTTAGATTTTTTTTTTGGCCAAAAATTAGTTTTTCAGCAATGATACATAAAATTTTTCCCGCCAAAAGACTTTTTTTTTCTTAACTTTTTGTTTTAATTGCGATTTGCCCTTTTAAAAGCGCAAACTTGTAATGCAGAGTTCGTCGCATACACCGCTCGCCTGAGAACGATTATTTTCCCAATCGGGTAAAACGTAATTTTTGATAAGCTTTATTTCAGTCAACAGACTCCTTAAATCCTCTAGCATCATCGTTTCTTGAATCTTGCTTCATATGATCTTGAGATCTTTCACATCTAAAGATATAAAAAGATGGTTTAGCAACAGTACTTTCGAGTATACTCTGAATTTACCTACCCATAATGTCATCTATTGAAAATTTTCACTTTGTTTTGTTCTTCAGCTGTGTAAACCAAAACCATTTTGCTAGATTATCAAGTTTCATGTTGCGACGGCTAAAACTCAAAGCCAAGGAATCTTGAACACATTTGGAGGAGTAACTTAAAGATATTTAAATGTCAAAACTGCTGACCTACAAAATATTTCTGAGTGTCGCAAAGCTGGGTCAGACTCAAAAAACAAATGTTTCATCTGCATTTGAAGAAGCAATTCTACTTTTTCAAATAATTGTTCAGTACATATGTTTGAATCGAGCAATAGGTTGCTTTCACTTACAACGACATTGAGGTGAATCATTGTTTTAGAATATATCACACAGATACCAAAAAAAATAAACTCTTGACACGTGACCTTGTCTCAACGGCTGCTCGGGAGTGAGTCCTTGCTATCTCTTCCGAACCAGCCAATCAGCGTGCGCGAAAATCGCTATTCACTTGTGTGGCATTTGCTAATAATAAATACATTTAAATGCCATGAATAAAGTCAGTTCACGTTTTCACTCCTAGGATCTAAGCATCAATTCTCCACACTATTTACCAAAAATTTCGAATAACTTTAGTTCTGAGAATTTTGCGCCGAGTTCTTTGGTACTATTCTTGACCTCACTACCTTTTGGCTTGCAAACTTTTGATATTGTAGGGAAAAATTTCCTTATTGGTCATTCCCAGTACAGAAAAGTTATGAAGGATGACGTTTCCAGCAAACGACAAAGGGCAAGTTAGATTGAAATAGCAAAAAATTAAAAAATCTTTCCTGTACAGTTGATTCAAATATTTCCGTTTTACTTCAAAAATGGTTGAACCGGCGCACGACAAAAGGTTTACTTTGAGTGGTTTTCCGCAAACCTCATCATTAAGCCTTTATATATTCAGAGAGATTTCACGAGCAATTTCCATTCCTCGTTCCTTTATTTGTAACTTTCTAATATTTTATTTATTCTTAAAATTTTGTTTCAACCAAGTCCACTTCGGTGAATTAGCTGACAGGGATTTCGAGATCATTTTTTCATACAAGCTTTGATTTCCCCTACCAATCCCTGGAAAAAATCCACTTCCTGGCACAATTCTCATCTGTCTTCGCGTTATTTTCTTTCGAAAAAATATTTTTCAAATCCTAACATATTTACCTAGATCGAATTTCGCCAGTCTTTTATTTGCTCCACGCGGGTGTAAAACTTTATTAGTTACATAGCATTTACTTATCAATACAGTGCAAGAATATATATATTCTTTAGGTCATTTAGCGGAAGCATTATCGAGGTGGCTCGTAAAAGTTTACTTCCTTTTTTTCTTTAACTGAGTTGCATCGATTCCCAGAAAGCGTTGAATAAAGACATTTAAGATACCAAGATACACGCGAGGTAAAAAATCGTTGTCACAACAATTTCAAGAGGCGTCAAATTGCCCCTGATTTCTTCCGAACTTCAGAGAGAAATAAGTCAAAAATTCTCGATCCAACCTTCGCAATTCTCCTTTCAAAGTAGTTTAGTTATGGGAAAACAATGTTACATATTATAAAAAAAAAGTGATTAGGATTTATCGACACCTTAAACTTCCTTTATTCACGTGTTTTTGCCACGACAAAACACTCCTAGTTTTTTTGTTCTCGAGTAAACAAACTGAGTACACCAAGAAGAGGTTTAAATCAACGAGTGTCTCAATGTCACCGGACAATACTGGGACCTGTCAAACAACTCCTCACTTTGCCGTGGAAATTAGTTTTGGTGTCCTTCTCAAACGACTCCGTATATTGAAAAACGTTTCACAGGTTTAAATATATGTTTCTTTTAGACACTATCCTCTGTGAAATATTAGAATTTCAGAGGCAAAAAGGTATAAGCTACAATTGGCCACCTTAATCACAGTTAATGCTTAAAACAGATCTAAACTTGCTAAATAATTTTTGATGAGCAAAAGATAATCTTCTTTTGCGTTTGCTTCTCACTGATCAGCCATCGAATCAGAAAAGAATATTTTCGAAACTGAAAGTAAAAACTTGAACTTAAGCCCAACAAGGATTAAGTAAAATAAGTGTTAACCGTCTCTCGGAAAATCTGGAAAAGGAAATACAATAATAAACTGACCTGAATTGACTGAATCTGTTTCCTTGAACTATATCTTGTTTCTAATACAGTGCCATCCCACTTGATCTTCTATTCCTGAAAATTAAGCGACATAGAAAACATTTTAGTGAAGTTGAACAACCAGTAAAAAATCATAACAGAGTAGGGTCAGCGTCTCACCATATAACAATCAATTTTAAACAGTTTAAATGCGACGGCGGGATGACTTCGTGAAAAAATGTGAATATCTATCAATTTATTTCATTTTTTTTTTGGAGGGGGAGGGTGTGGGTTTCGGGGGTATGAATCACATTGAGGGACCGGTCATTATTCATCGGAGGATTTTGGTTGCGTCACAATAACGCTTAATGCATCCCCCTTAAAAGTTCTGTTATATTCATATGACCCCACTCTATACTCTGTTCGCGATCACCGATCCCCGGTCCGTTTCCCAAAAACCCTTGCGATTCCCCAAATTCTCCACCAGCCGATAGACAATAACTGGTGTCTCACTTCTTCGAAAAATTATCATTCCTTAAATAATTATAAAATAATTTTGTGTTGTTTTTTATCTCTTTAATCATAAAATTACTATTTCCACAATCGTGATTGGTTTAAGAAACTCCTAACGAAGCTAATTCACTTGCCAAGTTGTTATCGGACAGTTTGTTATCGGATAGTTCAGTAAGCCAATCACATTCAAGGTTGTAGTTTAAAGTAACCAATCACATTGAAATGAATAAAGGAGATTGAAAAGTTTCTAAAGAAACTGTGGTACTGCGTCGGTGGGAGAGTATAACAGGGTAAATTTATTGTTAAAAACCGAGTTGAAACGTTAATTGGCCACCGTAAAGAGTTTAAAGGCTGACGTTTGGAACATTAGCCCTTCGTCAGAGGGAAGGGTAACGTTCGAAATGTCAGCCCTCGTCTAATGTTGAGGGCTAACGCTCGAAATGTCAGCCTTCAAACTCTTTAAGGTGGCCAATTTACGTTTTCAACCCAGTTGTTAACACTAAATCACCAATCACATTCAAAGTACTTTAAATCAGCCAATCACAACCAATAAACAATTTAGGCCTCCTTTGTCATTCTTTTAACCCTATAATCCCTGAGAGTGACTAACATCTAATTTCTCCTTTCAATATCACCCATGAATCAAACATTAAGGTCATGAGAATAAAGGAAATGATAATCGACTGAAGAACCTCTAGACTGTTAATCAAATTCTCCTTGCCAGCACATTAGGAAATGTATAGAGAACGGTATGGAGAATATACATGCTGATGTTAGGGTGTAAAGGGTCAATGCAAAATTTCTCTTTCTTTCACAACTTGGCTATTCTTCCTTTGGTAAAATTTCCGCACAGCCCCATACTATTGTAAAACAAATCTGTTTTCCCAATGGCGATGTATTGTTTTAGTCATTGTTTTCTCTATCCAAGAACTGAATGCATAATGTAGGATGCGGCTGTGCGGAAATTTTACCCTTTTTTTCTCGGAAATTATTAATGATTAGTTGGTTATCACTTGCATGATTCCAAACCAAATTAGACTCTACTCAGTCCTATTACCATTACTAATCCCTAACGGTGATAAGCATCACATCTCTCTCAAAAGTATCACCCCTAAATCAAACGTTAAAGTCATGAGGATAAAGAAAATGATCACGAACTCGAAATGAAAGCTCTAAAACTTTTTAGTATCGCTAAAGGAAAGAAGTGCTGATGCCTTCTCAAAAAACATCGGATAGTAAGTGACTTTTTATGAACAGTGGAAGAAGAAGCTAAATGACTTACATGAGTTCAAAAAAGTCTAAACTTCTGTCTTCTCGTGGTTTCAATCTGTTGACATGTTGTCGCTGACTTCAACCCGGGAGCGAGAACCGTTACGCACCAAAGATTAAGATACAAGTCACCAAACATTTTAACTTCCGCTTTCAGATATTCTTCCTGTCTAGGACATGTTAAAAGAAGCGTTGTCTGATCGAAAAACTGCAATTCGAGGCTTTAAAGCCAGTAGGCTAGCGTAGTTCCGAGCTCCACGTGTAAAGATCCTGACACAAGTAAGATGAATATTTAATGTCGGCAATATATTTGCAATTCAATTCGAACTTTTTGCGTGCCTCGCAATCAGTATTCAAAATGACACCGTGTGGAGTAGGGCAAAATGTTTCTTTTCTGGTGGAGATATTTTTATCCCAGAGGTCTAAGATCCCTGTGTCGCGAGAAAATTTGAAAATGTTATACACAAATGTTGTGTTCCGAACTTCAGTATGAAGTTACCTTGTTGGTGGTAGAAATAAGGGGGGGGGGGAGAGGGGAGTAGGGGGATAGGGGAGAGGGGGGAGTAGGGGGATGGGGGGGTTTAAATTGAGCCAAGAAAATATGATCTCCTAATTTAGCCTTAGGCATAATTTTGGGCATAATGCCATGTTTTTAGTGGTGACGCATAACGCTCATGATTTATCTGATCCTACTGTGTACGTGATGGTATGAATCAATTCTTATAAGGTCTTTTATCTTCTGTCGCCTTTTTTACATCTTACCTCAAAACTACAACCACCAGTTAAAATGGCTTCGAAACGGCGTATTTTTGTTCCTTTATTTTCAGTGTTATTTAGTTTTATTCCTCCGATCGAAGCAAAATATGTTATTTTACTAGATTAGATTCTGAGTGGAATTCTTCATATTACATACCCTTCCGGAATACAAATATTTTAACGACATCATTGTTCCATTTATATTGTCCTAGCTTAACACTAATCTAAACAAAACAAACTATTTTTCCTGACCTATCAGATTCAGTATAAATTAAGCATGCATATCAATGACACTAAATTATGTCACGCGCTGGTTTGGACCTCAACGAATACATAATCCACTTTGTCAACGGTGCATTGTGATCTCTCGTCAGAAAGACTCGTAGTCGAGCAAATAAGCGTCTCTCTTACGGAAACATGGCCGAAAACGCCTCAAAAGAACCACGCAACACAGCTAAGAGTCCGTACTGCTGGGATATGATGCGGTTACTCGACAATGCCCGCAAAGAAGGTGAATTGACAGATGTTACTATGCGAGTGGAAGGACAAACATTCCCCGCTCACCGATGTGTTTTGGCAGCCAGTAGCCAATTCTTTCATGGTTTATTTACCAACGATATGAAAGAAAAATCGGCGTCAATCGTAAATATCGAAGGAATTCCAGTTTCGGTGATGAATGAGCTCTTGTCTTACCTTTACACGGGAGAGGTTCAAATGAGCGAGGCGAATGTCGATGATCTGATCGCATCCGCGAACTACTTACTACTTCCCCGTCTAAAAAACATCGCTTGCAAGTTTAAGGAGCGGCATATGTCGGCCACAAATTGCGTTGCTACCTTTCTATATGCTGAGAAATACGATTGCAAGGAATTGAAAACATACGCTGGCGAATTAATCAAGCAGAACTTCGCGACGGTCGGCAAGTCCAAGGAATTCGTGCAAATTTCCTGTCATCAAATAAAGGATCTTATTTCAAGCGACGACTTAGTAACTGGAACCGAAGAAGAAGTCTTTGAATTCATTCTAGAATGGATCGCGCAAAATCAAGACGAGAAGGAGCAACATTTTGCGGAGCTGTTTAGACTCGTTCGACTGAGCAGCATATCCGATCAATATTTGTACACAAAGCTTATGTGCCATGAACTAGTGCAGGCAAATGGCGAGTGTAAGGAAATATTAATGGACGAAATTCGCTGGCGTGCCTTGTTCTCTGGACAACAGATCTCCCGACAAAAACCAAGAACTTGTCTTCAGACTCATGAAGATGCAATCATCACATGCGGTGGCCTGTCGCCAGATGAACGCATTCGCAACTTGACTGTGTGTTATGTTCCGGCTACGAAAACCTGGTACGAGTTGGCACCCATGCTTAACAGACGGTTTCGCCATGGTTTGGCTTCCTGTCGGGGATATGTTTATGCCATCGGTGGTAAAGGAGAAGACTCGGTCTACAACAGCGTAGAACGATATGACCCGCGCACAAACTCATGGGGCTTTGTAGCACCACTGCCTCAGAGAGTGACATTAATGGGTGCAGCTACCTTACAAGGGCTACTGTACGTCACTGGCGGGATTGCGTTCAGTAGCGAGCACGGTGGTAGGCGTTGTGACACTGCGCAGAGGTACAACCCCTCGACAAACTCTTGGACTGTAGTTGCACCTCTAAAGAGACGCAAGTCCTCTGTTTGTCTCGTGTCAGACACTCACTATTTGTACTGCATTGGTGGCTTGGCCGACGATGGTTTCCTCTCTGATGTGGATCGTTATGATCCAAAGTTGAACGTATGGACACAGATGGCTCCGATAGGCGAACAGCGCGGGTGCGCTTGTGGAGTGTGCCTTGAAAAAAAGATTTACCTCTTTGGAGGTACTGTTGACCCATTTTCTTTAAATGCCCTCGTAAGTTGCGAGGTTTATGATATTACTCTGAACGAATGGCAATCAATCGCTCCCTTACAAGTTCCCAGATTTCACGGAAGTGCAGTCCTTTTACGAGATCAGGTATACTTATTTGGCGGAACCGGAAGTCAAAGTGTCGATCGGCAGAATTCTCGTATGGTGGAGTGTTACGATATCAAGTCAAATACCTGGCTCGATGCTCATTCTATGCCATATAATGAGACATACTTCAGAGGATGCCCAGTAAGCATGTTTAAAGATCTACTACAGTCTGTGAACAAAGTTACAACTCTTCCCCAAAGTAGTTAGGTATGTTGAGTCCGTATGACAGTTACCCTTGCGGGTTTTAATGCGAACTTCTACCAGCCATAACTTTTAAAAGCCATCGCAGCCCGCCTACTGACATAAACTCAGGAAAGGATGTTTTCACGGGAAAAAGTTCTTTCTAGATAAATGGAAAGCTTTCCCTCGAAACGTATTTTCATTTCAATTATGAGATGAAAACATTTGTATTTGCGAACTGTCACTCAATTTGGCAAATCTGTTTACGCTTTAATCGAATTGAGAAGGCTTGTCTAACGTATTAGTTAAAAGGAACAGGATCTCATTTATTTCCAAGAGTTTGTTTTAGTATTGAAGGAGTAAGTCTCTAAAGAAACTGCGGTACTGCGTCGGTGAGGGGTATTACACGATAAGTTGGTTTTCTAATCTAAAGTGATAATGTAAACTGGATACTGTCGATAGTTTCTGAAGCTGGCGTTTCGAGCGTTAGCCCTTCGTCAAAACAAATGACTTTGTTCATGAAACAAAAACCGTGATCATTGAAAGGTCTGATAGTTTGTTTACAATTATGATCGAGGAGATGTGGAAATGGTTTAAAATCGCAAGCAGAATGTATCATGAATTTATTTAGAAGATCAGTTACCTTAAAGCCATCTGGAGCTTCTCGCTGAACGTAAACAAATTCTCGAGATAAATTCACGAGCGTAAAGAATTCTTGAAATCACCTTTTAACTTAACAATTGAACATTAACATTTACGGCTGAGATCTTCCTTTAGTCACGCGACTGTAAAAAGATCACGCAATTTTCATTTTTTTTATTATTAATGAAACTGTTAGAGTTTACCATTTCTGATTAAAATAAACTTGTTTGACTGTCAGTGAGATATATTTCCGTCGTAATCAAACCCTGAAACTGCTATCGTTTCTTCGGTTTGATTGCAAATTTAATAACAACATATCATTAAAGAAAGGTACATTGACGGCGGAATATTTATTTATTTATGTTACGGGTCGTTTAATGCGAATGACAATATTGAAATAATTTGTTTCACACAACAGTTTCAAAACTCTTGACCAATACGAAATTTGATCATTTCTTACTTAAAGTTGAGTTCAGATACAACACTCAAAAGAACTTAACACCTATCTAAGAATTGTGACGCCACTACCTCTACAGTCTCATAAGACCCATCGTTTACACTATTCCAAAAATCAAACAATCGTTGATTAAAGAAACATTTACATAAGCTAATCAAAACTAAACAGTCCATTGATAAACCAGTCTGCGTCGTCTTCCGTTGGGTGCGATTGTCAATCCTATCACGTGATAAAGGAGAGAGAGAGAGAGAGAGAGATGCATTAAACAGTTTACTTTCGTATCTTTCATAATACATTCAGGCACGGATAGGAGTCTCATACAAGTGGAAATGGGGTCTATATTCCCACCAGGTAATGAGGGATACTCTAAAAATCGAGATAATACGTTGGCAAACAAATATTTTTGATTCCTAGACATTAATTATTAAAAATTGGTCGGCAAAGTCGTGCATAAAGAATCTCTCAGTTCTATCAAGTCACTTGTGCGGTATACTGGTTCAGTATACAAGTCGGTTATACAATCCAAAGAAACACGAAAGAAACTTCCATCATGTTTTTTTTTCTTTTATTTTAAGGTTTTAAAATTCATTTTCAACTTCAGAGGCAACCACGACTAAATTTTTTGCCGCGCACCAAAATGTCCCGTTTTACGTTAAAAGCTTCGATTGAATGAATGAATGAACTGATCACATCAAAGGCAAATTTGCATAAAAGTCATCAAATGTTGCGGGACACGCGCGTAAGTTTGATTTTTCCTCGTTCGCTCTCTTTCAAAATTGGTATAGTTTTCTCTTGTGCAGTGATCTGTGAATTCTGCTCCTTGGTTTGACAAACAAGACTTGTAGCTTACAGGTTTTTTCGTGTCACATCAAAGGCAAATTTACCTAAAAGTCATCAAATGTTGCGTGGACACGCGTGTAAGTTTGATTTTTCCTCGTTCGCTCTCTTTCAAAATTGGTATAGTTTTCTCTTGTGCAGTGATCTGTGAATTCTGCTCCTTGGTTTGACAAACAAGACTTGTAGCTTACAGGTTTTTCGTGTCATAAGAGGCAAACTAGAATGACAAGAAACAATCCCTGGACCATGGATTATCGCCCAAAATTATTTTTGCTCACTCACTTTGTTTTCAACTAGCCCATTCTTTCGTCGTGCTCTTGTGGGACTTTGCGTGTTCTCATCGCTTGATTCCCACATCTTGGCTGTAACACGAACACCAGGAGTACTATAATGGCACCAATGAGAGCGGACACAGCACACAACCATATATCCTTGGATGGAAACATCTCTGCTTTACCCTCTGTATCAGATGGCCCTTCTTAATATGATGCAAATGAAGATTTTAGATATATGAAAATGCACATGATGCAAATGAGTTAGGAGAAGAAGCAGAAAGCTGTTTGCTGAAAAAATTATTTTTGTTAATGGTATGGGGTTCCCCTTATAAATATTCATTCGCATAATATTTAGATGTCACACCTTTTTGGTTTAACATTTTTTATCGCTCTTTTCTCGGAAAATGTTGACAATGGGCCTCTTTTGTTGTTCAACTTTTTGAGATTGTGACCAGAACCTCTCAAAAGACAATTTCATATGAATATATCGCCTGCTTATAGGTAGTCCGCACTGAAATGCTAAGCATGTGCTATTGCACTGTCACGAAATACTCGCCCCGTCTTCTTATTGAATGACCTCAACATAGACAAATCAGAATTTAAAAATTAATTTTAGATAATACTTCGGAAAGACTGACAGCCTATGAATAATCTCAGATAAATAATTATATTTCCTGGTATTGTAAACTTCGAGACGTAATTTCTTGATTCCTTTTATTGATTCGTACTTACTACCACATCTAATTCGTATCGTAAAACCTATAAAGCGATATCCAAACAACCATCCCTACCGAAGTAAATTGCGATTGACCGACTTCAGTCTCGTCTACGAGTGTCATGTTAGAGATTTCCCTATTTTTCACTACAGCTCATTTACACGATAACTCGAGTGCTCGTTTGAATGTCACGCCAGTTACATTAGTTTACTTTTTATTCTAGACTTCTCTCTTTAACAAACAGTACAAGTACTCGTTTGCTGTTGTATTTTTTAGGATTTCGATCAAAACCCTTGAGATCAAAATGTCAGGTGAATAACTCGACTACACAATTACTGTTTTTCAAGTCTTCATCGGTGTGATTATCTTTGTTGCTCATCGAGTCAATTTGTTACTGAATAGTTACCACGCAAGGGCACGAAATTCGATTCAATGTTGATTGCGACTGATAAACATACTGCTGCTTTCAATGCTCTTGGACAAACATTTCCCAAACAAATGCCGAGAGTAAGTCGTATTAAAGATTTTTATATTACAAGCCCATTGCGCGTGGCTATTCTATTCATCTTTACATGAAGCGTTCGTGGAGATGTTACGTAAAACTAAATTATTTTCATACTGCGTAGGCTTTCAGATGCTTGAATTCATCTGCTGGTAAATCATAGGGTATGTGTTTTTTAGGTTGAGAACACACGGTTGAAGTAAAGTTTCTAGCTTCTCTACTAAATGAAATGAAAACCGTCCTCGTGTAACATTTCACTTTCAGAGGAAGTTATGGAATCAAATAGAATAAATTGACATCTTTTAAACCAATAAACGGCTGAGTTCACTTTTCGGGGATTCCCCCAAACGTTAAAAAAACGTCAAATGCCATTCCCCCATTACAAAAGAACCAAGAGCGAATTCTCTTTCGGCATTGAATTTTTTCTTTTTTTGTTAACCTTTCATTCACACATCAATATATTTGACTAAAATCCTTAAAAAAAAAAGACTTTTTAAAGAAAACTATTTACACCTGCGAAAACAACAGTGCGGTCAGACCTGTCGTAAGCGTCGTGACCAAGTACAAAAACAGAACGCAATATAATTGCAAGTATTTAAAATCCTAAAATAAATGATCTATTAACATTTGCCATCTCATGCACGTTTTAACAAAGCGTAAATAGAACAAAGTTTTAGTTATTACCTGAAGATTCACAAATGAAAAAAAGCACCACCAAAAGGCTGACTAGTGCAGCTCAAAAATGCGGAACTCATCCGCGTCAACAATGTCTTGTATGTAAACAGCTTTCCTGCCAATAGACATGCACTACACAGAGTCAGCTAAGAGTCTAACAGCCGGTGATTCTAGTCTATGATCTCTATGTTACAATAAAAATTGATACAAATCAAGATATACATGTACTACAAGTTCTGTTCTAACTTGAATCAATCTGTTGTGTGATGAAGTCTGTAAATCAAATAACAGATCTTTACTCTTCTTTTTCCGTCCCTCCGTAAGTCGCATTTGTCTAAAAACACAAAAGGAAACTATAAAACAATAACAGGATTAGATTTATTCAAGATTTGGAAACTTTTAAGATTTCTAAATATTCTGTCTTCAAGTGTTTCCCATGACACGCGAGCTTCTGAAACGAAAACGAACTATCAGCGTTCAGCCGTGGTGCCCTTTTGACCACAGCGTAATGATCACTCCGAATATTCATTCACAAAGTAGCGCGAGAAAAACGTGCGCGATCCTGCCTCAGCTTGTTGTTTTACTTCGCACGGGGGGCGCGTGAAAAGAAATTTACCTCGACGAATTTTTCCAAAGTAAAAAATTATAGTCTGGCTTAGAGCAGTGACAATAAATGGAACATCCATATACCGAGCTTGCTCCAGTATATTCATCATTCTGTCAGACTTTGATAAAATATTCTCATAGCTTACAGAATTCTTACCTTCTCAGTCAAACCTCTCGTCGTGTTCTTCTGGCTGCCGGGTTTCGTTTGAATCAAATCGTCTCCTGATTTCTCTCAGCAATGATTCTCTATTTTCCCAGATCTTTAAAATCGCTACCGAGGAAACTCCACCAACAGCGAAGAACAATACATCGCGCAAAAATTGATCGGAGAAAAAAGCCATTTCTTCTGAATTCGTCTTGCTGCGTGCAACCCCACGAATTAAAACTTTCCTGAACCCGTGACGTCACTGCCCTATGCAAATATGCTGATAAATGAGGAGAATATGTCATTTGAGGCTATTTCCTTAGTGTGTTCCGGTGTCGAAATTCGCTTCTCAATAACGATAAATTTCTGTACCGGAACGATCGAAATATGCTACGTCTCTTGAGAGCCACACAAAGCAGTGTTATCTCCAGAAGATAGAGAAAATCAGCATTGATCCGTCAACATCCCAGATGACGAGCTTGATCCCGAGTGTTTACCTCACGCTTAGTATCAACCAAACTATTTTACTAATAGCTTGCGGGGCTTAGCTTAAATTTTTTTTTTGACAAGTTACGCTTTAACTTGAGTAGGTATAAAATTGCGGACAATGATGACGTTATGGCCTGTCTTCATTTTTAAAATAACCCTTTCCCGGCTGATTGATATGTTTTATCCAAACAACGCTGAGGCGGCCGGAAGTGAGGGAACTTCAATATGGTTGTTTATTTCAAAACTCGCTTCCGTTTAACCTGAGGGTAGGGGGGGGGGGAGGGAAAGGAGGGTACAACTGCACGAAGCCTAAGGTCTCATTTTTAGCAGTTTGAGGCGAGCATAGCTAAGAGAATGGAGAACGCGAGGAGCGAGATATGCGCGAGGGGAGGACACCCGAATAAAAGGAAAAGAAACACACGAATATATATTGTTTCTCTCGTAAGTATCTCGCATGGTTCTAGCAATTCAGATCGCCTCAAAAACACAAAAGAAGGTGGCACCTCTGGGGGAAACGCGCGAATAAAAGGAAAAAAGACACGAAAATAATGTTCCTCTCGCGTGTCTCTCATTTAGTTCTCCTCCACGTGCTATCAGATCCTGACAATACTCGAAGTGAACGTCTTGACTTTGCATA